TGTTATAACTTTTTCGTGTATGTTTTTTATTTTGTACTACTCTGTGTATTCTTGGATGGCAATAAAGAGGTTTTTATTTTATTTATTTTTTTTTATTATTTTATATTTCCACGGGTTAACCCCTCATATATAATATATAGATATTTATACATTCAACGTACAATCGTGTCAACAACTCATACAAAATATGCTATTAATTTTGTAAGTATTTCTAAGTTACAGTTATTTTTATGGGACTATTAAAGAAAGTCTGGCTGACTCCAAGCAAAAACAGGGAAGGCTGGAAGGAGATGGAGGCCTTTACGCCCCTAGGCGGGATCCATATTTAAAGTAAATAAAAAAAAGAAAAAACGATAGAATAGACTAACAATACTAATAACTATAATAAGGTGTGAAACTAACAATACAAACAAAATGAAATTTTTGTAAGCTATGTAAATATTGAAATAAAGAGGCTTATTATTATTATTAAAATGTATTAATATCGAACAATATCTTGTTGTTCATTAGGGCAGTATTCACGCAGTTTATCATTGTATGACATAATGTACGTCTCAATTTTCCAGGGTTGCCTTATATTGATTTGCACATTTCATGCACTTCATACTAATGAGCCCTTTTAGTAACATAAGATATTATAAAGGAACTAGCTGTTCCAGTGCGGCATCCGCATGAAATTATGAAAAATTGATTTTATTGTTACATTTGTCAAATTGTCAATAGCAAATGTCAAAATGACATGACATGACAAATCTTGCTTCCTTGATGTTGGCAGCAACTTTTGTCTCTTTCCCACATTAGGGTTCTTATCCAAAACATTTACTCCCTAAATTCAATTGCGTTAAAATATATAGCCTAAAGCGTGATGTAAGTGTAGGGCTTTTTATTAAAAAAAATATTATTCAAAAATATGTTGTAATTGCTGACATCTTAGGCAACAAAGAAGTGTGTGTTTACGCTTCATTATAATAGTATAGATAATTAAATTTTGAATGTACTGTCTTGTTTGTAATCCAAAGACGGAAATGTCTATTGCTCACTTGGATTCTTTTTTTTTAAGAGGTCTGTTCTGAGTCAATTATTCGACTGCAAATTTTAAACGTATTATGACCGTATTCATTGCATATTGATAAGTTTTAAGGGGTGTGCATCACTAGGTTTTTCCTTGTTTCAGTTAAAGAAACAGTTTTTTAGAACCGATTACAACCCTAGGGTGTTTATAGAGTGAGCGGTAACATGATTATGAGCGGATGATTGGTCTCCGCACTCAGTCACAGCCGGGAAATTGTTCACTGAATTTATAAGTAACTTATAGCCAATCTTTAAATCCCTTCGCTTCAATTGTCTGTAAATAAATTGTTTTGCTATTGAAGATGTATTCATTTAAAATATATAAACAAGCTTCACATATTTGTCACATGTATTTCAATACACATGATATTATTCTTACTAATATTGTAAATGCGAAAATTAGATGGATGGATGTTAGTTAGAGTTTGTAGCCTAAAAGGCTGAACAGATTTAGATAAATTTTGGCTTTGATGTAGAGGATAGTTTAGACACACCACATAGGCTTTACTTACACACATTACATAGGCTGAAATTATGTCTTTTTATCTCCACGCGAATGAAGTCGCGGACGAAAGCTAGTGTGTCCTAAATCCATGTATTCTGCAAAGTATTATATTTATAAAATCAAACGAATAAATAAAATACTGTCATTATTTAATTTTTAATATTTTCTTTCATTAAAATGCTTACATTTTTTATTGTTGTTTGATCAAGTCTTTACACATAGAAATTCAGTACGTAATTAAATCTAAATACGCCTGAGCAGTGTTAAAAAATTATACAATGTTAAAAATAAAGTTTTACGTCTGGTTTTTACATAGATACGCGTGGTTTTTACATAAAACAGATTTAAAGCGCGCTGATACTACACATAAATATTTTCAGGACACGTGCTTGAAACGTGATGTTATATTTATAAAAATACTAGCTGTTGCTAGCGACTTCGGCCGTGTGAAATTAAACAAATAGTAAAAAATATAGCCTATGTTACTCACAGACAAATTATCTCACTAACGGTGAAGGAATTTTTAAAATTGACCCTGTAGTTTCTAAGTTATTTGTATATATACAAAAATGCAAACCGTTCCTCTTTATAATATTAGTATAGATAGTATAGATAGGAAGTGAATTATTGAGAGTGAGTAAAAAAAACCTTAAATAAATGTGATCAAGGTAACGTATTAAATATCTATTTTCATCCGAATTAAAAATTATATTATGTGAAAAAGTGTGTTTGTGCATTATATTTTCATTTTTCATCAAAGCATGTAGTTTAGAATTATTCTTGACTTATTTATATTGGAATCACACGGAGAGCATAACCATTCAAACAGGTGTTCCTTTTCACAATAACTAAATATGCTTACAAAATTATTGATACTTACCAAAGTGATAGCTGTATCCTTATTAATATTCCCCCTATTAAGTATTAAGTACGAATTTTAAATAACTTAATTCACATAATCAATATACACCATTGTTTTGTTTTTGTTTACGATTAAAAAACTTATTTCCAGTATCAAATATTTTATGACAAGGAACTACTTTTATATTTTTTTATTTATAATTGTTGTGAATATTACTATAAATAGGCCGATTTAGGTTATGTTTAGAATGAAAATCCACCGCAAAGCGCTTTGGGCAGCTGACTGCGGACGACTAAGTGAGCGAAAGGCGGGCGGCACGGACTTATGCCGTATCGTACCGTCACGTTCCTTAGTATCTACTCTCTCACGTGCTTATGAATATATCTGTAGAGTAAATGGAACAGCAATAGGTAAAATCATTTCCCGGCCACGTCCAGACACGCGACTTGGCACATGTATTACTCACGTACAATTTGGTAGACACGTTAAGCACCCTTTGATATGTAAATTGTCTAGTATGAGAACAGTTTTCGCATCGCAGCGCATGTGTCTTAAAATTCCTTTCATAAAGCATATTCAAATACTAATCCTATTTTAATTTATCGCTATTTTTTTCTTTTAGTAAAATCAGTAAATCGGCTAAATAATACAGTTTTTTCAACACAAACAATTAAACGTTACAAGCACCTAATGGCATTTACGAAACATAAAATTTGCCATTTTTTATTGGATCCCAACACTAATTACGAATCACAGTTAAGTGATTGGTGAAAAATGTATGCACATGTGACTTTATTTACGTTATTTTTGGTTAAATTAGTTGGTGGACATTTGAAAGATATGGGCGAAGTGACGGTTAACTGGACTGCCATGTTCTATGAACTGGAGGATAGAATAGTAGGGGGTGAACCGACAAATTTGAAGCGGTATCCATTTAATATCCAGTTCTTCAACTACGGTGGAATGTGCGGTGGTACAATTCTCACCAGCAAGACTGTTATGACCGCTGCTCACTGTTTCGACCATAATCAAAACATTGCTGAAATGACTGTATTATCCAGTGCGTTAGTTACTATAAATATTGAAATGATATTATTTTAATGGGCGGTTTCCGAAATACTTTCAACCATTCGATAGTGCTTATGTTTTGATAAATTCATATGTGTATAATGTAAATTAGGTTAACCTAACAATAACGAATCATTAGGTAACTATGTAATAAATAGAATCTTTAGAAACCCAGCATAAGTCAAATAAATGTAACATTTACTTCAAACAAAGCCATAGTAAAATAGAAAAATCTAAACTTTTACAATAGATCATTAACCTCTGCATATATTTGTTCTAAACCATCCTTTCTAAAGATTATATATTTAGGATTGAAAATGTCTAGACTATAAGATATGCTATTACAAAGACGTAGCATTCTAACGAAAGGATTGTGTATATTCAATGCATTTGCATGCAATACAATTTTAATACAATCTTACTTATATGGATGGATTTATGTTTGTTGGTGTTTGTAGCCTAAAGCGAACTCCATGAAATTTGGCATAGACGTAGAGGATAGTCTGGAAGAACACATAGGCTACTCACTTTTTTTTCTAATTCTAGGCGGATGGAGTCGCGGGCCAAAGCTAGTCATTATTAATTGAATGTAGTTAATATCAACGTTGACAAGTGTTTTCAGATTCTCGTTTTATTTTCGATCCCCAAGCGCGGACACATGAAGTATGGGACTTCAAAGTACATGAATATTATAATACAAGTGCGATGTTCTCTAACGATATAGCAATTATATTGGTACACGATGAATTCAAGTTCGATGAGAACGTAAAGCGTGCTGTTCTATGCGATACAGATGCTTGGATGAATGAAAGAGAAATCTTCGAAGCCACCGGCTGGGGAGAGATCAAGGTGACTTTATTTAATAAATACTTCATACCGTAAAAATGTAGTCTGAAGTTTAAATTTATGACTTTCTAGATCCTAAGATTCAATTTAATAAAAGAAACACATTTTAGTACCTTTACCTTTCCACCCTTAAGAGGAAAGGATGGGAAGGAAAAGTGGATTTGACGGTGGAGGGGACGTATAGGAAGGGGAAATGTCCTCTTTATGTGCGTTTTCTTCTCCATCAATTAGGGGTAGGCAACGCATCTGCAATTGCGGATGTTTATGGGCAGCGGTTACTTTCCATTTTGGTGGATTCAGGTGGCTACTTGCTCGTTTGCCACCGTATATTACAAAAAAAATATTAAATCATAATGTAATTCGGGATAAGATTTTAGAGCTGTTGAACTTTTCGATACTAAGTGTTTGTAAATATTACTACAATTCATACTTTTTTAGTACAAAGGTGAGTTATCTAACAGTGGATTGATGAAGACTCATCTTCGATACGTGCCACCTAATAAATGTATGGAGGCGAACAGAGTTGTCCTAACTCCTGACATATTCTGTTTGTTCGGTGACGGTCAGAGGGACACCTGTAAAGGGGATTCCGGCGGAGGAATATTGTGGAATAAGTAAGATGATATTTATTCGTAGAAACTCAATCAGGTTAAAAAGTAACTTCACAGCCGTTGATAATTGTTGGTCAATTGGTCTTATGGCGGAATAATTTTCAATTGGAAAAATCAGTTCTGTAAAATTGGGATGTTTTAAGACAATTTTGAAAAACTATTAAATCTATTTAAAACAATTGTTATGGGTTTAGTTTTTAATGATAATAATAGTATTTGTTTTTGTTTTTTCAGTGTAATAGTTGGCATTGTGTCCCATGGTAGTGGCTGTGCTGTCGCCCCGGCGATGTACACAAACGTGTTTTACTTCAGGACCTGGATACTCAAAACTGTTCGGAAGCTCAACGAAATGTATTGTCGCTTTCATAAATCCCGTAGTCACTTTAAACCATGAATATTATGTAGTTAATATAATGTTATTTCGAAATTGTACTAATAATATAATGAGGAAAGATATGTATTTTTGGATTTTTGTGCGTATTGAAATTATTGACAAAAAAAATACTGGGCCGATTTTAAAAAATCTGGCACCATTAAAAAGCTATGTTATCATTGAGTAACATAAGTCATGTTTTTACTATTTTTATAATTCCACGCGCACGAAGTCGCGTACAACAGCTAGTTATATAATAATTTGGACGGCAATTTACAGGTTGTATAAAAATCCTTTTAAGAAAATATGTCTCCTTAAAAAAATATCCAATTAACTCGTCATTTGTTGCATGAGTTTTTCTTCATATACAAACGTTTTACTATTTTTATTATCTACCTACGATAACAGTTAAGTAATAACTTCGTAATTAATCGATGCTGACTTTTCAAGTCAATTTTTAATCACATCCACTCGTAGTTTAATGTTTCGTAATCGATATAATGTTCAATCGATTTTTACGATCGTTTCATTGCAAACGCACTCACAAATTCACTGGTTTCGTGCTTTTATTACACGCGTCGTTGTGTGTTAATATTCATGGGCGGTCAGGAGTTAAACCGTCACGATTCCCGGATCATTCCGAGGGTAAAATAATAGGTGGAGAACCAATAAAGATAGAAAATTTGCCGTCCGCTGTGCAGTTCTTCAACTTCGGGTCTTTATGCTCTGGTAGCATTATTAATAGTTGGTCGATACTCACCGCTGCGCATTGTTTTGATAATAACAAAGATATTTTTAATATGGTAATACAATTTGGTAAGTGTAAACCTTTTATAATTGGATAAGGTTATTTGATCAAAACAACAATTTTTATTAGAGATTCACGTTCCTATAGTATTTGTCAAAACGTAATAAAACATTAACAGTCTTATACATAAATGTTAGTACAAATTTTGCTTATACTCAATTTATTCCTAAGTTTAACTTTATACCGCGATTATTTGTAAGGATGTTATTTTGTATATTTATTTATTGTTTAATTCTTTTAATTTTACTTTTGCCGTTCATACTTGATATGTAAATGTTTTTTCGTCTTTTATAAATAACTTACATGGTAAACGTCTTTTGTTTAGTAAATTAGTGATTTAACTATTACTAATGGCCGGTTTCCCAGTTACGTTTAACTATTCGTTAGAATTTTGGTTGGATAATGTTAAAATGCGTTTCCAAGCTACGTAATTTAATTTTAATCCATTGAAATATAGCATAACCTAACACTAATGAATCACTAGGTAACGATAAAAGAAATGTAAAATTCAGAAACCCTGCATAAATTAGGGTACTTTTATTCTATAATTGTTTATGGGCAGCGGTCGCTTTCCATTTCGATGGATTCAGGAGGCCGCTTGCTCGTTTGCAACCTTATATTAAAAAAAAAATACACAATATGTCTACATTACGTCTTGACATTAGTAAATAGTGTACTAAACCTTACATAATAGGTGTTTGTTTTGCTTTATACAATAGGTGCTCGGTACATTTATGATTACGACGGAGAAATACGGGAGGTGTCAGATTTTGTGATTCATAGCAACTACAGTAAAGCGATGCCCTTCGCTTGTGACATCGCTATCATATTTGTTAATGAAGTTATTACATTCGGGAGTACTGTTCAAAAAGCCGTGCTGGTAACAAATGATAGCTGGAAGAAAGAAAATAGTAAATTGATTGCAGCTGGCTGGGGATGGACTAAAGTGAGTATACTTTATTCCAAAATGCTCTTATAGAAATAAATTTTACGTATGGAAAAGGATCTATCCATTGTTTTTAAAATGTTACACTAAAGGCATTGCCTAGTGTGGGCATCACTAGGTCAATCACATTTTATCCACTATTTGTATTTATCTTTTAATTGGTTATAACTTTTATTGTTAATTGTTAATCTGTTATTTTTCAATAAATTTCAATTTCAATTTCAATTTCAAAGTCAAGTAGAAAACATTTTCATATTTATTAAGACTATTAAATTAGCAACCGTCCTTGAAGTTAATATAAATGAAGGGAATATACTAAAGTTAAAAGTTTCCATACAGTCATCCCAGTCAGTCCAGTCAGTCCAGTGTTGTCAAAGAGTGCATACGCGTGTTAGTGGTCAGTCGCATCCCTTCCATTCGCCACGTAAATTTCCACC